GCGACTCCGTTGCTGACTGGTATCTTCGTCGTCGTTGCGTCTTTCTTCGTCAGCCGTCGTTGTGCTGCCAGGCCCCCGGCTGGCAGAGGGCAGTGAGCAGGTTCTGATCGCCGACTTTTCGCAGTCTGCCTGAGTCCCCCAATAGCCTGCGCGGCCGTTGGTAACCCGGGCGACGACCGAGCCGGTATAATTTTCGGAGGCGTCAGTACCGTGAGTGGCAGGTGGCTGAATTTTACGGAGACTTGCCACGGTCTCCAACCCTCCTCCTTTCTCATGGGGGCTTGGGACCGGCCGTGGCGGAGTAAAAGTAAATTAATCAAAAAAACCAATCTGAATCCCTTTCAGGGACACGCTCGTCTCTTGGAAGACTGGTGGTTTGTCCGAAGTGCAATTGGTTGATATTCTAGGCAGCGCGCATGAGAAATGAGCTCTGTCTTCTAGTAATGCAGTGATCTGTTGCTGAAAAGTATAATCGTTTTACACGGTTGACAGTGCATGGTAGATGCGGTAGATAAACGTGTAAATGAAACACGTATAGCTGCAGACAAGTTTTTGTGTTAGTCCTATTTTGTATTATTCAGAGCCAGATGTATTGATATGATATGTACGGGGATAATTTTTTTAGAAATGAATTTTTCTGATTACGAAATATCAAAGATTTCCAATTATCTACATGCTCTTGTATGAAATTTGTTTATTCGTTTATAAATTTAAAAGAAGTCTCGAATTGGTAAGATTTCAGTGTAGTAATAAATTATGGTGGTATTTCGCACAAGCTTTATGCTACAATAGTGTTTTAAAAAGACGAAAAGGATTATTTCGTTGCCTTACCTTGAAGAGTTGAACGTTTAACCTATCATTGTGAGTGCAAAGTCAGTAAAAGTGATTCTCAATGATGTTCGTGGCGTGACGATTGTATAGCTTTGGTTTTGATCGGCGTGACGTTATTGTTAAAGGGTGTGGCACTAATGCGTATTTGTGTAGGACCTCGAACGCCTTGAACTATGAGTCGGTTTTGCCGCCTGCTTCGGACCCTGCCGTTTCGCTCTTGTCGGTCGTTTAGTGGCCATCGAGCCCGCCTGGCTTGTCCCGTGTTCTTGCGCGTTAGGGCTGGCAGCGGATTTCGACTCTCTTCCTCAGCGATCACTCCACTGCACTCATCGGCGGTTTCTAAGGCAGTAGAGACCGGTGACCACGCGTCTAAAAGCGAACAAACCGACGGGAAATTCCAACTGTTTTACACATGTAAGGTTTGCGACACGAGGAACAGCAAACTAATATCGAAAATGGCTTACCGTCGCGGCGTGGTTTTGGTGAAATGCGTCGGTTGTGATAACTACCACATCATTGCTGACAATCTGGGCTGGTTTTCTGACCTGCAGGGCAAGCGGAACATCGAAGAAATACTCGAAGCAAAGGGAGAGCAAGTTAAAAAACTCGTTATATCGGATGTATTAAATTTTGTCAATGGCTAAAATGTTTTTCTTCGGTTGTGATACGTTCTTTGGTTTATTCCAACGTACCTTCTGCTCGTCGGATATGAAATGTTTAATATTTTGCCGCATTATATTTTCCAGCACTCGCGTTCACCGTTTACGGAAAGTCAAGGTTCGGTTGAGCGTCGTTTGTTGCACTTTAGTGAAGTACTTCCATTGGCCAGTTTTGCAGCCGTCGCTCACGTATCGAAATGGGTCGTATGCACAATCCTGGAAAGGGAATATCACAGTCAGCATTACCGTACCGCAGGTCGCACGCGACCTGGCTGAAGATCAGCTCTGATGACGTCAAGGAGCAAATTTTCAAGCTGGCCAAAAAAGGCCTGCGACCATCGCAGATCGGCGTCATCCTTCGTGATTATCACGGCGTCGCGCAAGTGCGCTGGGTGACCGGCAACAAGATCCTGCGCATCATGAAAGCCAAGGGACTGGCACCTGAAATTCCTGAGGATTTGTACCACCTGATCAAGAAGGCGGTTAACTTCCGCAAGCATCTGGAGCGCAACCGCAAAGATAAAGATGGCAAGTTCCGTTTAATTCTGGTTGAAGCGCGCATCCACCGCCTCGCTCGTTACTATAAGACAAAGAGAACTTTGCCGCCGGCTTGGAAGTACGAATCGTCCACTGCCTCAGCTCTCGTGTCTTAACTCTAGGCATGAAACTGTTGTTAACTTGTTAGGCATAGATGCCTTGTTTAACAAGATTGAATCAAATAAAAGTTTAAATATTCGAAATCTTGTTTTCTTTTTATTTGAATTCGTTCGATGCCCAGTTACATCTGCTATGTGCATTGAACCGTGTTGCGACCGGATGGCGGTCGATGCGCTGTGTAAAGTTTATTCGCAATTACAATGCTGTTTCCTCGGATGTTGGCAAGGTTTTACCAGGGAACGCCCTTCCTCCATCCACATTTAGATGTGTTTGTCTGTTTAGCGAATCTACTTGACAGTGCTTTTACTTTCCCTAATTTTAGGTTTTGACCAAATGGGGGGATGGGCTAAATTAAATCAAGATATTGAAACTTGTAAAAATTTAATTAACTTTGCCAAGACCTGTATAATGAGGCTATCGTTGTGAAAAGAGATGACAATTGCTGGTATACAGTGAAATTTTGGTATCATGCTTTCCCGTTTAAAAGTAGGACATCCTGGCTTGGGCGAAATTATTCCGCAAAATTTCGTCTTCACCATTCAGGGAACGCACAGAATGCTATTTTGCTCTATTTCCTGGCCGCATTATTAAATCGTTGCTTTGAAGTCCTGAAGAGGTTTGTTAAACTTTATTACCATTGCCTCGTTAGCCGACTATTTTTGGTTCTAGAAGGGTTTTCACCTGTAAAGAAAATACTCCTTAACCGTACTTTGCTCTGGTATGCAGCCTCTGTTTGGTGATTGTCTTCTCTACGCAGTGGGATGCCCAGGTTGAATTTATGGGAGTTTTATTTGCATCTGCCACAACGAAACGTACTAGCCATGAGCACTGCATTTGTTTCATGCAATTGGTCATGAACTGGTTTTATTGATGGTCAAATTTCGGATTGAGAAGAATTTTCACAGTAGTTTATTCTCTATACATACCTTATTTTCCACTGTTTAACAGCTGAAAATGCAAATGGTAACATTTTTACCAACTCCGGCGAGCAGCCAATTGTGCACTTTGTGCACTCAATTTCATGAACTATTTCGGCAGTGAATTCTAATGTATATTGTAATAACGGTCTGATCCAAACGTCATCCTCTGTTGCTTCCTTTTTCTGATATAAATAAGCACGAAGGTTCTCTATGTTTGCACCTAGCTTTCTAGAAGGAGCTTTGACATTTTTTTTATTGGCATGACGATCTCTTATAATCATTTTATATCTCTGGTTCTTTACGCGATTGTGTCAGATTTTGGCTGCCATTAACGAATAATTCGTAATTTACCTTCTTACGAGCGCCAGTAGTTTGCTCTTAAACGCTTCGATGACACTGAGTCCGGGTTGGCTTTTTGCAGAACTGTGTCCATTCAGCGCTTCTCAAGAAGTTTGCTGTTCGATGAAATATTTTGTATGCCTGGTAGCATTATGCGCTTTCAAAAAAATATTTAAACTGAGGATTCACGCACTGAAGTTTGTTACTGTGCACATAACTCAGCTCCTTCACAACCGAATCTGCAAAAAAATGATGAAAGTAGTGGCTAGTGTGGAGCGTCATTACTGATGAGAGAGTTATTGCTCCTTCTAATGGAATAATGCAAGGTGTACCATTAAGTGTCACCGACAGCCGTGCTTTTCGCAAATGCTCGTCGGTATCCACAAGTTAGAGTTGGTCAGTAGGCCGCGAAGTCTGGTTTTGAAGAGGTATGCGCGTATTGACATTATCCTTCGCATGAAGAGCCTTTGATACAGTATTACATCGGTGTACCACCCTTTGCTCTTAGATTTCTAGAGGGTATTTACTCAGGCCACGGCTCTGTAGTATTAGAATAAATGCGCTACTAGATGCCCCTCCCCGTTTTATTAGCAGCTTTGTGAAAGCAGGTGCCCGTTATATGCTACCACAAACGTACAAATATAGGTTAATACTCCTGAGCGATTCATGCCACCGAACACTTGATTGTGTGGCAGATTGCGTCGTTTTCTTACTCCTAGTTGCATAGGGACATTTCGGCTGGCGTGAATCCATGGCATTTGAGTGTCTGCAATGCCGAATTTACCGCGGTTCATTATTTTACCATTTTTTGTCACCTGTGGCGTTTCAAAAATCAGTCCTTCTCGGATACGTTCGTGCCAGTGTCAGAAATGTAGCTTGGTACGCTGCAAGCACTATTATAACAAATCAGTTTCGACGCTTTTTCGACCGTATTCTTGCTTCTAAATGCCTAAGATGCAGTTAAACAAGTTCATACGGCTGAAGTCATTCCTTGTTCGTCGCTACTAATGCATCAGGAGCAGACATTCGCCGTATGCTTTCCCAGGAACGTCAAGAAGTTGATTCTTACGCTGAAAATGATTAATACGCAGAATATTGCCGAATGAAGTGCGATGTTCACAAAGGGCTATTTTTTAATTGTGACATTTCGCACTTTGGGTAACATGTCTTGGGTTGGAAATGTTGAATTGTGCTTACCATCGAAGTGTTGGATTTTCTTATTTACAGTTCATACCTTTTGCTTAGTATTATTCGCTTGTTCGGTGGGCCAAGGTGAATAACAGCCGTAAAGTACGCGCCTCAGCCAGCATGGCGGTTTGTCTCGTACGTTCTGGCATGCCCACCAGAGAATGCCTACTGCCTCAGTTTTTCGCACGTCAGCAGCTTGTTATCCACTTCTTGGCTAGCTGTACCAAAGTACAGTTTAGTCAACTCCTTGCTCAAAAATATGTGTGCATAGTTGGAATTTGGACCTGATTTCGTTAAAGCCCAACAAGAACTACTTTTCCACTACCCCCGTCAGAAGTAGACATTGTGAAGACTTTCCTTTGTGTCATTCGACTTGTATCTTTCCAATATAAACGCAGGATGCCTCTTTATGTGAAAAGAGAGAGGACTACACGTTGTACTGGCCATCTGACTACTGATGTTGCTTTAAAATTAAGATTGCTGGCTAATGTAATCGCAACATAGGTTATTCTCTGTAGGAAGATTGTTGCTGATGATGCTGCCTGTCTTGAAATTGTAACATCGGCTGACATCTGTCAAAGCCAACGGTGTTTTCTCTATTTTAAGACAGTCACTTTTGATTGGATGGTGCCTGTAACACGTTTTCTTCTACCCTGCTGTTGTTTCGAAAATGTTGCTAAAAGTTGCTGTTTGTCAGATATGGCGTGCTTAATCGATTCAAGTAGTACTGACGATGACGATGGTGACAGCTCGGATTCTTTCGACTCTGCGTCCCCTCCAGCGTCGTTCAGATTAGCCGATTTTTCCTTTGCGTCGCGGAATGCGGATTCTACGCCGTCGTCGTCCGTTGTAGCCGAGAAACCGGGTGCGGCCGCACTATCGAATGACACGTTTGTCATTGACCGTTCCGGCACCAGTCTCCATTCTTCGTCGCTGACGGACATCGGGACGAACAGCATGGTCAGAAATAAGCGTTTTCAGTCGTCTCTCCCGAAACAGAGGTTTGTTTGTCGGTCGCTCCCTGTCCCTAGTCGCCACGGATGCCTCGTGTTTATCGCTATGTATTTCAGGGATATCACACTTTCCGGTAGCATCGGATGTGCGGCAAATGTCAGCGACGTCTCTGTGAGGCCATTCGACGACAGTCGGACCAGTCGCATGCCCGATGTTGACATTATGCCGACGTTATTGGCGGAAATTGACGAAGTAATAAAGCTTAACCGCGTTTCTTCCTTCGATGCGTTTCAACTGCAGTTTTTCTTAGGTAGCGAAATCATCGGTTTTAACGCCTGATTTCGAGCAGCATGACGTCGTTGAAAGCGCTTTCCGGTCTAAAAGAGCGTTGAAGAGGCAAAGGAAGGTGAGCGGCACGACGAACTTTATTTCTTTAGGACAAGTAACAGTCAAAACGTTGCTGACGCCTCGCGGCTTAGTTTTTTTCCCGATTACAACTTGTGCTGATTATCACATAAAATAGTCACCTGTCGAGTGGGTTAAGACGAACTGCAACCCTATAAGGCGCCCACATCGAACAGCATGGCCATAACTCTCGCCCGTTCTAGTATGGCCACTCCCCCTGTTATTCGCAAGTCAACCACTGACTGCACGTTTCTGGACCGATTGCGCCAAAGCAGCGTGGGGTAATTTGCTCAAGGGAAACATTGCGGTGTAGATGAAGACTGTTCTATCTCCGGAATCCCAAAACCGACACCTCCAGAATTCGAATTCGTCCCCCTTAGGCACTTTGCCATTGCGCGGCGTATCTGAAAGTTATGTAAAGTTTACGCTTAAACATGGTGACCCAAAACTTTTCTCTTTAGCGTAAGAGAAAAAATCATATGACAAGTTAAATAAAAGTAGATTCAGAAGAAAGAAACCATTTGTAATAATGCGATGCCCCGCCGATTAGGTGACAGTCATATGAAATGTAAAATGCGGTAGACTGTATCTACTGTTCCGACTTTTACATCTTCCAGGACCGAAAAAAATTTTTTAGTACAATCCTGTCGCATTCACGAATTTCTGTTTAAATGATATGCAAATGTTCCTGCTTTGTCATAATTTATTTGTCGTCTTTCTGTACTCCTCATGCTGTGTGTGAATCGATCGCTCTTCACGAGCATACTGTCAAATATATTAGACATGAATTTCAGTAATTTACATTTTTACATTATGATTTCAGGGCACAGTGCCCGCGAACTTTTGAATGATGTCATTTCCACTCATTTCTTAGCCGCAGTATACAGCTATTGTGCTAAACGAGACTGACGAAGTTTAACTTGAGCAATTATACTGCGTTTTTTCTGGAATGGTAGCGATCAGATTAGTATGAAGTGAGATGTCGGTGTTTTTTTCGCGGTTCAGCTCAACGGGTTCCATTCATGAGAGCGTCTATTTCCATTTTTCAAGACGTTGTAACATTATTGCGTTCAGTCGTATTTATCACGTTCATATTTTTCATTCTTTCGGTTGGTGAAACTTTCGGTAATTCTATGGTAATAGGGCGCTTCACAATGCTATCTAACTTGTATTAAATTTGTAAATCTTCATTCTCTAGTTATTGTTTGATCTTGTTTGAATCCATAGAAATAAATAACTACCGGAAGGCTGATATTTTATTTTTGGGTTTTTCTTTGACAATTAATTTAGCCTTTGATAAATACTTTTCATTAATTTCTTCATTGTAGTCCTTTTAAAAACTGAAAAATGTATAAAACGCTTTGTTTATACACAATGCAAATAAATAAATTGATCAAGCGGATCATTTACCAGTACCGATGTTTCGGCTCGCTTCTCACTCGAGCCTTCATCAGGGTGATCTGGGTTGGTTTCTGCAGTTGGTTGTATAGTCGGCATCTGTTATGACGTTTGCTGCCAAAGGCGTGTTTTGGCCCATGCTGTTTGTTAAATGGCTTTGGGTCACGGGTTTGATAAAGCATGTCTAATCTGCGCAGAGTTCGTATCCTTTGTCCCGGCTGACAGTTTCGCATAATTGGATAATTAAGCCTTCGTTGATTCGTCTGCTCAGCCAGTTTTTTTCTTTAACGATGCCCGCGCAATCTGGCCATTGAGGGACGTGATCTTTTTCTAATGTATGTTGCACCATCCTTGAGACATTTTCATATTGTTGTTTGACTTTATTAGGTGAGAAGGTTTGTTTTTTCCTCGATTCTTTGTTGCTGCATGTCGTTTGCGTTCGCTGCGGTCATCCATCTTCTTCAGGAGAAATAAACCGTTTTACGCATTTTTTGGTTTCAGTATGAACACAAACACGTGAGCAAACTACTCAGTTTTCTCTAGTCGTTTTTACGTACGTTTTTTTATATGTTCTGGTGTTGACATGTGAGCTAAATCATGGGGGTACAAAGAGTTAGAGTTATAAGCTTCATGCTATTTGCAGTGTTGTTAAATATTAAGTTAACGACACAGGACTGCTTGGTTGGTATTTGTTGAATCGTTTAGGGTTTCGACATATTACAGAGTCAAACGGTTTAACGTTGTGAAATCACTGTTATTAACAAGTACATCAAAGATGCTCTGTTGCAATTATAAGATGCCCTTTATTATCGTTCTCAACAGTGAACGCGTTCTTTCTGTTCTTTTCATGATATGTCGTTAAAATTTCTGCCAATGGTCAAGGAATGTTCATTTGAGCATTGCGAGGATGTTATCCATAAATTTTAGGCTGAGGTAGGGGTCTGATGGAGTCCGACGTTTGCATCTTCAGAATCCACACTGATTGGTGATCTCTAAAAATCTCGTGCTTCTAATTGTAGTGTCCGAAGAAAGAAGTTTTGGCGATAGTAGCGAATATATCGCTAAAGCAATAGACGCTAGTTTAAATCTTCTTAAGACATTGGTCCATATCTCACTGTTGAATTTTCGATTGCATAAATCTGCAAAGCGTTGAACACAGAGTTCGACCTTGGGCTCGTGATTGTCTGTTAACTTCTAACTAAGCGTTGATACATATTTAAACTTTTTCAGGCGGAGGCAGAGGCTAGTGCTGGTAAAAAGTGGTTCGATCTGCCGCGAACGGAGCTTACCGATGAACGCAGGCGGGATCTTGAAGTTTTGAACCTGCGCGAGGTTCTGGAGAAAAAGAAACGCTTTTACCGAAGTCTGGGACGAACCGGGTTGCCAAAATACTTTCAGGTACTGTTAGTTTCTGTTTTTGCTTCGATGTTTAAAAAGGCACGTCGCTAAGGTTGGCACAGTCGTTGACAGCCCTTACGACTTCTACAGCTCTCGCGTACCACGGAAAGAACGCAAGTCGACAATTGTTGACGAACTGCTGAACGACATGGACATGAAACGGTTTTACTTTCCTTTGATCCCTTGTTTAGTTGTCACAAACTGATGTATTTGTAGTAAGTTCAAGGCTCGTTACCAACAAATTTTGATGGAGCAGAAATCTCGCAAAAGCCGTGCTGCAGCGGGTAAATATCGCGTTGCAGGGAAAAGAACCAAAAAGACTTGATTCGTTGTTTGTCAACCCTTGCAAAAATGCTTGATCGTGTTCCTTTCCGGTGGTCTCCAATCTTCGACGTGTACCCATCTCTGAAGTAAACTTTCATTCAGTGTCATTAAACGGTGTAGAGCCTCTTAAGCAGAAAGTGAAGAGCCTGATTTGGATAAGGTTTGATTTTTCAGCAAAAAGTTTACGGTACTGTCGTCACCGTTGATCGAGGAGTGACAGGGTGTGTTTTGTTTGACGATAAATCAAACCAGAAAACGGAAATTCCTGGAGACCTGCTGTCGTTGTTGTTTTGATAAACGCTTTGAGCGGTTTGCATTATCAGGAAGTCTCTGGCTTGTAATGTCCGTAATATTCACAGCTTTTCAACATCTTTGCTCTAAAGCATTGGCTGCTGTATCGTAGAAGGAGATATTCCTCCGACAGCTGATTCGGTTCTGCCTCTATCATATTGCTCAATGTTGCATGCTGTCCTGTTGGTTGACGTGTTTCAGCTCCCACACGAGAGGTTCATGGGGCGGAGTAAATGGTTTATGCACTGCCAGTTTGTCTAACCGGACCAGCCTTCTTTCAGTTCTCCACATCTACTAAACCACCTGTTCTCGGATTAGAATAGAGTCATTCCTTACGTTGTTCTGCCATGTAACCCTTATTATGAGCCTATGCCAGTGCTACTGTATGCTGCTCACCCATCGTTCTTGCTCCCTTATTCAGACAATTATCCATTTCTATGCCGTACAACAGCACCGACCTGACAAAGCAAAGTACAGACGGATTTTTGTGGAAATGGTTACTCCATTTTTAGCCCAGATATTGGACAGGTTTCCAAATGCGCTCGAGGCTAGGCGATCCTCCTATTTAACTCTAGTTGGACGATGCCTTTGCTAAAGACGATGTGGCCGAGGTACATAAATTGCTCAATCTCCTGAAGTGATTTTACTTCCTTGTTCTACTTGCAAATCAGCTAGAGTCATTGTTCTAGCCTGAGCATCCTTCTTCTCGCTAGAGTTGCTTCACCAGTATAAAGATTTTTCATCCATCTTCTTGCGTTGTTTCATTAGGTGACTCTTTCCAAGGTTCATAACGGACATTGAAAATTAAAGTTTGCAAATAAGAGGTAACAAACCCCTTTCCTTACTTTAGCTTGGCGGAATATTTCCATTCTGATATGAATATGGTGCACCTCATCTAGAAAATAATCAGCGTTCTCGAAAAGGAAATGCGAGTCAACCACTGCGTATAGGCTGGTGGATAATGGGACATCCAGTTACAATGGTTGCTAATAGTTTCGGGACTCAAAGGCAACAGTGTCATACTATCTATAGCGTTTTCGATCCTGCGGCAGCACCTGAACTTTCATCTTCATCTTCATCTTCCATCGCCGCTTCTCCTTTCGGGTCGCGGAGGCAGACGCGTCAGACAG